GTTTGCACCCACAACTATTTTCGACGGAAAAATACTCACTACAGGTTCCTCCTCTGACCCCTCGAAGAGGGCCCCGCTCACGTCAAGATCAATTGATACGTCCTCTTCACTCATGGTAAACTCAACAGCAGCAGCACACACTCGACGAAGGACGACCAACGAATGACGGAATGACGCTTCGAGAAGCTTCTCGGCGGCGCACGGCAGAGAAGGGGAGGGGGATGCACAGGGCGGAGAACGGAAGGGATGCGCGCGCCACTTCCTCGCGCACAAAAGTTTGAATGCGATTTAATGTTTTTGACTTAGAATGAGTTGCGCTGCGGTACAAGGGGGTTCCCCCGGCACGGCAAGGTCACCGTCATCATGGAGGGAGCCTCACGCGACCGCCGGCAGCATGATGACGCACTTGTTGGCGGCAAAGCTCGTCCCCGAACGGCGACGTAGTTCTGTCGTCGACCGCTAGATGACGCGCTGCGCGCCGCCAGCGCGGCCCGGCCCGGCGCGGTTCCCCCCACTCCCGGCGGCGGCGCGAACATTCAAACGCGGCGCGGAACGGTGCGGCCGCGTACAGCGCGTTCCCGGACGGTCCCACGGCACAGAGCGTTCCCGGACTCGTCGCGGCGGACAAGACCAGACCTGCTTAGGTTGACTTAGGTTAGGCCCGCCCAAGATGGCGGCTTAGGTTGAGTTAGGCCCGCCCAAGATGGCGGCTAGGTTGGGTTAGGCCCGCCCAAGATGGCGGCTCAGGGGAAGGGGGAGGGGGATGTCTGAATGGGGGACCAAAATGGCGCATGTCTGAATGGGGTACCTTTACTACTGATGACTCCAGCTCCTCACTCAAGGGTTCAACTTCCTTAAACAGAATGGTAAATATGGATTGTCATTGAGAAGAGAATTTCATGTTGTATGTACACATTGCCAAAAGGAATAGAAAAGACTTTACCATTTTCATTTGTCTTATTTCTTCGATCAATCTTTGCTTTTGAACATCATACTCCTTCAGCTCAAGAATCAAGCGCTAATTTTCCTTTAGAAGACAAGACAACATTATTGGAGAATATGCTTGGATGTTCATGAAATTACAGTTATAAATATACATTGGCGGTTACCTCTTTAAGTCTTAAAAGGGGGCACACCAGTGAAAATGTAGAGGTTTTGAAAAACGATCATTCTGAGAAAAGTTACCTACGTATTCGATTGATATTTTATTCTTGGCTCAAAATTATATCAAAGAAAAGAAAAATCAGTATGGGAGGGTGGGGTAGCGATGGCAAGACGGAGCGCCAGTGCACTTCATTTTTCTGCGACCTCGTCTCACTCCTGCCACGATTCCGCCTCTCTGGATTGAGCCTCGAGCACGGGGTTTGAAAATTTCTCAACAGGACACATGTGGCTATGGTCTGAACCACGGGCATGCAAAAAGAATGATTTTGAATATGTTTTTTCAAAAGGCAAAAATAGAAACAAATTTTTTAACCAAATTTTTTGCGCTTTCATGGCTGCAGCTCACGTCCTATTTATGGGATGATCATTTCCGAGGTTCAGACCATAGACGCAAGTTTAACGAACATTTTGCTGCAAACCGCATTAATTTATCTCAATTTTTGCTCCCGTGAGAGTGGCACAAAGGTACAAAAAAGGTGTTTTGAGAAAAAGCCCTTTTAGTAGAAACATAGATTTGACGTGTTTTTTTGGATTATAAATGCGCCATTTGAAGTATTTAAGTTCGTTTTGCGCCAAAATGACCCTCTTTTTAACTGCGTTTGGGTGGTTCAAGGGTTTTGTAATTAAACTTTAAGTGAAAAACCTGAACGTTCACAATTGGTCTAAAATATCCAAAAATAATAACCTTTTTAGCAACTTCAAAATTGTGCACAAGCCAAAGTAATTGGAATTTTGGGGTGGGGTTTGCGGCATTCGACTCGGAATGAATAGCATAAAAATAAGATAAAATAAAAAAGAAGGCAAAAATTTGACGATTTTCACTGGTGTGCCCCCTTAAAGAAAGCGGCATCAGTTGAGATGGCAGAGATCAGCTCGCAGGAGGACCAGGGTTTGATTTCACCCCAGAGATTGGCAGCATAAGTGAAAAGAGCAATATTGATGGTAAAAACTTCCCGACTTTGGTACTATAGTGTTATGCTGATAATCCCATTCTCTGCAATAAAACACAGTCAAATTAGTCCAACACTCCAAATAATTATAGGGGTTTTCATAACTGGAAACTATAAACAACATTAACTTACATTGCAATAGAAAGCGGTAAAGAAAGCAGCGACAGTTGTTATAGCAGAGATGAGCTTGTAGTTACATTCAGGACCAGGGTTTGATTCCACCCCAGAGATAAGCAGCAGAAGTAAGCACAGCAGTATTGATGGTAAAAGATTCCCCATTTTGGTACCATGTTGACTTCCTTGATGATTGGTTGTGCTATTGGGAAGTTTGTTGTGCCCTCCGGCATGAAGACCAATTCTCAAACGATGCTGTTCTACTGCAATTCCCATTCTCTGCAAGACCAATTAGTCCATTACTCCAAATAATTATAAGAGTTTGAATGACTGGAAACTAAAAACAACATTCACTCAGGGTAATGTGCCCAGTGATGGCCACTTTAGACTTTGCGCTCACTTCTCATCCACGCGGGAGAAGTTAAACTGTAGAGCTTTTGGGGTTTTGTACCCTCACCTATTAGCATCACAACACCGCAAAACTTTCGTCTCGTTTCTGTCGTGGGCGGCCGCACAGGCTCAGCGCAACGAATGCTGCTTTGACATGTTTTGTTCATTTTGTAGAGCTATCAAATCAGAAATCACAGCGTGTCTTTCTCAGACTTGAATTTTTTCTTTATTTCCACCTGATTACTGTGAAAAACGGAAGCACAGAACTACTCCTCTCTCAAAACCTAAAGTAGCTATCACCGAGCAGGACACAGGCCATCACTAAGCAAAGGGTGGCCATCACTGGGCAAACTGGACTGATATTTTGGTTACGCTTTTCGCAAAGGCAGAGTTAAATTTTGCTCCTTTTCAAACTGGAGAACCTTGGGGTCCGGCCCACTCACCCAGACGTTATTCATCCAAAACCCAACTGACCCAAAGTCAATACACCCACGGTCAATTCGCCCTCTAAAATTCACCCGAGGTCCATTAACCCTTTCTCGATCACACCCACGCCAAAATAATTCGCCCAAGCCCAATGTGAGAGCGAGGAAAAGAGTACTGCTTAAAGAGAGGGGTATTGTCAAAAGCCACCGCGATCGGTGATGTCGCGGTGCGGGGGGTATTTCCTCAAGACAACAATCAAACCATCTTGCCCGCGAAATTACTTCTCACACTTTTCGGCAATGCAGTGCAAGCAGCGAGCGACACCATGGCGACACGTAAAAAAGAATTTGTTGTGACAGCAAAAAAGTATGTTGATTTTGGGATAGCTAAAACAGTTGTTAGGCGTACTATCTATTTGTGGTCAGAACAAACATTTCGTAACGAAAGAAATCGTCAGGAGCTCTAAATATCATATTATAAATGACTGTTTGTACGCCTGACGAATTATTTGTCGTGAGATAATCATTCTCTTATATGTTTGAAACAAAACCTGCAAACTATTGTTTGAAATGGATGTCGGTTGCGAGAACCAGAAGATAAAGAAGCGGCGAATGCAGAAACGGCCGAAATGGAGATCGGTCTTCGTTCGAGCGACCTAAAGGAGATCGGTCTTTGTTAAGGACACATCGAGAAATAAAAATAATTATTCTGGGTGAACAGCTTTCTGGGTCAATGACACGTGGGTCAATTACACCCGGGTGAAACACTTGGGGGTGAATAGCGTATGGGTGAAAATGCTTAGGGTCAGTCGCACCTGGGTGAGTCGGCCTAGAACCGAGAACCTTTACTCTATCCTTCTATTATGCTCCTGAAAATAGCCCAAACGGTACGACGATTGAGAAACTTCGTAAGCGGGCAAAAGGCGCATTTGTGCGCTAGAAGTGGCCATCACCGGGCACGTTACCCTACATTGAAATAGAAAGCGTTAAAGGAAGTGACAACAGTTGTTGTAATGGCAGAGATCAGCTTGCAGTTGTATTGAGGACCAGGGTTTGATTCCACTCCAGAGATTAGCAGCAGAAGTAGGCAGAGCAACATTGATGATAAAAACTTCCCAGTTTTGGTACCATAGTCCTTTCCATAATGATTGGTTGCACGACTACGAATTTTATTTTGCCCGCCGGTGTGAAGGCCAGTTCTCAAACGATGCTGCTCTGCTGATATTCCCATTCTCTGCAATAAAACACAGGCCACTTAGTCCGTTGGTCAAACAAATTATTAGAGTTTGAATGACTGGAAACTAAAAACAACAGCGTTAAAGAATCAATCAAATTGAATAAGATTTCCCAAATCGCCTGTTGTTCACCTGCGTCAAAATGTACAAAACACTGTTGCCACTTTCACGGAAACAGCATGGAAACAGATCAAGCCCTCGCTTGACTTCAATTGCCAACCTACCAGTAGATTAGATTCCTATAATTTCGAAAAAGCGAGTTCTTCGTTCAAGATAAGAAAGTTTTCAGAACAAAAGGAAAAGTTGAAAATGTTTCTGTTTTCTAAAGCCTTTAGTAATATCGCTGAGGCGTTTTGACTTTATGGTGTCGAAAAATTATGCTGTCTGTGACGATTTATCCGATATACGTTGGTAACACTTTTGGAAAGCGGCAAAAGTCAAAAAGTAACCGATGATCGACGGTGGCTTGTGATTGTGGTTTCTGATTAGCTTACGTGCAAAACTTCAACATGGTATGAGCTTTTATTAATCTATTTCTGGAGCAAAAGAGGGGCCGCTTCTCTAATCAAATGGTTTTGCTCAGTTTTCAGCTGGTAGCTCATCTGCTTCTGGGGGTGCAGGGGAAGGCTGTTCTGGGGGAAGCAGCATGCCCAGCACTTCAAGTGAAGCAGGTAAGTTCCATTTTTCTAACCTTGTATCAACATCAACTCGAGACTTAAAATTGGGTGATTGGTTCTTTATGCAAGTGATGGTTAATCGCAGGATTTACCAATCATCCTAGTAAGTACTCATTTCCGACCTTCCTTATCAATGTACAACACACCAACGTAATACGTTTTATAACCCCAATTTCAAACCGGCACCCAACAATCAGACTACACACTGTTAAAAAATAACTCCGAAATTTTATGGAGAAAAACCCTATAATCACGTACATGGAGACTCCATTCATTTTCCATTTTTTTTTTTTAGGGATTTTATCAGGGCTTATACAGATGTTCTTCGGAGCATTCCTTGGGTCCAGATGGAAGGTAAAATGCAAGTCTTTTGTCACATATATTAAAGAGGACTTCGCTGAAGCATTTTTTGGTCTGAAATGGTCAAAGAAGGGACAATCTCATTCGAGCTCACTTGACTTATATCCTGTAGCTTTCCCTTTATACTATGAAAACTGAGCTCAAGCAGTAGGGTTCACCTTTCCCTCAAATTTTAACTCGTTGCAAACCTTTTTTCGTGTTTTTGTTATAGTGAAGCATGCATTTTTGTTCAAAATTCCGAAATTTTTCGGAGAAAGCCCAGAATTTGCATTTATGGAGAGCTCCATGCAGAAGTTTCGGAAAAACTCCATGATTTTTCAATTTTTCTTCGGAATTTTCTGACAGTGCAACGATTGAAATACTTCAAAATTTTCAACAAATACGATCTCACATATTCTTTATCATTCCCTTCTACCAAATCGAAAAAAATTTCGCCATATAACATCAGGCCCACGGAACCTCCACTTCACCGTAACCTATAAAACCTTCATATACATCCACTCTCACTAAACACATCAACTTTCTCTTTTCAACTTTTAAAACCAAATTTTTCTCCAACTTTTACAGATGGATCAAGAATTCAGAGTCAGTTTCGGCAACTTACAAAAAGGACAACTCTACACTGGTAGAACTAAAGCGTACACTGGTAAAACTAAAGCGTAACTCTATGCTTGAGTCAAGCATAAAGTTACGCTTGAAGACGTTACGCTTCAAATCAAGCATAGACCAGAAATTGCCCCATGCATTTAGATAGGGGGAATCTTGGCGGATGAGCCTGTTACGCTTGATTTCAAGCGATTTCGAGCGTAACCTGATTACGCTTGAAAACATTGGGTAATACTACGCTTTAGTTTTACCAGTGTACTTCAACGCCTTTCTTTAAGCGTAGTTCTCCATTTCGCTTTTCTCCCGCCTGTCTAAATGCATGGGGGAATTTCTTCTCTACGCTTGACTTCAAGCGTAAAGTCTTCAAGCGTAGTTGTATGCTTGAATGAAGCATACAACTCCGCTTCAGTTTTACCAGTGTATGAGATAATAAAAGCAGGAAGAGTGGAAAACAAATTCTACGGGAAAACAACGTCGGGATTGAAAGTCCATCTCCTCGACGAGTCATTGGTTATAACAACATTCTTCCCCAAAAAGTTACGAGATGACACTACAGATGCTGATATCGAACGCATCAACACAGCTGGGAAAACCGATAAGAAAGATGCTGTGTGCTACTATGGCACAATACTCAACGATGAGAAAAGAACGTTCGTCGGAAAGATTCATCCTTATGGTCGAGGTAACTTACCCGCCCACAGTATAAATGAATTGCAATAATTCATACCAGTTACTAACGATATATTCCTCTATTTTTCAGGTATTGATAAGAAAACACTGGACCAAATTGCTTTTTTTCAGCCAAGTACAACAAGACTGATGAATCATCTCCCTCCAAAAAAAGAAAAACCACTGAAGATGAGTAATACTTTTTTAACTGATGAAGTCAACTTATTTTGTTTGTTCCCAATTTCCATGATGTTCCATGTATTTTTTATGTGTCAGGTGTGTCATGCTATTCACCTCTTTTTGCTATTGTGTCGGTGAATATTTAGAGGCACGTCTTTAGACATTTAACATTTAAAGCAAAAATCCTTCACATTTTAAATCTTTATATTTTATCAACATAGATCAATAATTTCACAACTATCATGTATTGTGTCCAATTCTTTGCTAATACACATTAGCACTTTATCATGGTACACAGAGCACACTTTTCACATATTATCCACAAACATACTTTTTAATATACAACATTTCCACTGATTTCCATCACTCTTTTACATTCTGTAACTCTTGACTAAACAGGGAGAATATACACAAAGAGGAAAGAGATGGGACATTCTTTGGCACATTAGTTATTCTCAATTTGTACTTATCAAATCTCGACGGTTACAAAGGATACTTGTACAGATCAAGACCACTCATATCAATAAAATACACAGACTCATCACTCAAATCGTTTCAGATATAAAGAGCAACTCGGCATTGTGGTAGAACAAAATTGCCAAGAACTCGTAAAGCAAAGAAATCGAGACAATGGATAACGCTCTTGTCAGCTTTGGACAATTCAAAAGGTATTGCCTACCTTAAGGAAGGAGCCTGTGTGCGATAGGTAAAATTTAGGGACGAGGTTTGGGGAGGGGGGCTAAATTCAAAACAACGTTACAGAAAATTGAGGGGTTGTTAGAAAGTTTGAAGAGGATTCACTTTATTCTACATTTGTTTGGACTCATATACACTGTTAGAAATTAGCTCCGAAATTTTATGGAGAAAAACACTATAATCACGTACATGGAGACTCCATTCATTTTCCACTTTTTTCGGAGGGATTTTATCAGGGCTTATACAGATGTTCTTCGGAGCATTCCTTGGGTCCAGATGGGAGGTAAAATGCAAGTCTTTTGTACATATATTAAAGAGGACTTCGCTGAAGCATTTTTTGGTCTGAAATGGTCAAAGAAGGAACAATCTCATTCGAGCTCACTTGACTTATATCCTGTAGCTTTCCCTTTATATTATGAAAACTGAGCTCAAGCAGTAGGGTTCACCTTTCCCTCAAATTTTAACTCGTTGCAAACCTTTTTTTCGTGTTTTTGTTATAGTGAAGCATGCATTTTTGTTCAAAATTCCGAAATTTTTCGGAGAAAGCTCAGAATTTGCATTTATGGAGAGCTCCATGCAGAAGTTTCGGAAAAACTCCATGATTTTCCCATTTTTCTTCGGAATTTTCTGACAGTGATAGCGAGAATTTAGAATTAGATAGCTTTCAGCGAGCGAAGCGAGCCAAAAGCTATAAATGCTTAACTGTCTGAAACGTTGTTTCCGTGTCCTACAATGGGGAAGACTTTTTCGTCAAGAAGGGCTGGCACACTTGCTTCTCCCCACTTGCCACGGAGCCGAAATTTAGAAGAGGCTTCCGGTTGCGAGCGAAGCGAGCTAAAAGCTATGGCCTTGTTGAGCGGGAAATGTTATAACTTGGGGTCTTAGTCCTAGGATTCCAGGCGATTTTAAACATTACCAGGTACATATTTTTTGTTGGCCCGACAAACAAATGGTTGAAAATACGTTGCACACAAATTTTCTTCCCGGCCTAAGATGGTTAAGGATCTAAGAAGGCATTACATACATCAGTCATAAAGTACCTCAATCCGTTTTATTTGCCAGCGGAGAGAACCCACAAGCAAAGTTACCTCCAGCGAGCGAAGCGAGCTAGAAGCCAATGCCTAAGTGTGTCCAACATGTGAGTTGTTCGGGCCCTGGCCCGGGGGCTAAGGGACGATTCCAGAGTATCGGCTATTTCTTGGGCCAATCGGACCCAGTAAGGGCAGTCAAAAAATGGAGGGGATTTCCCCCCTCCTAATGACGCGCCTGTCCACGAGAAACTATACCATATTATATAAACAAAACACAAAACGCCCTTTACAAACCACTCCAAAATTCATATACTTCTTCTTTCCTTTTAAGTCTGTTCAACAACTCCACCTCTCTTACATAACCAAGCCACTCCTACAAGTTATATGAAGATTATAATTAAACAAAAAATGATCAAAGCAGCACAACATGTCATGTTTGCAACAACAAACCAACAGGACTGATAAGGTTCTATTAGGAACCTTATACTCAAGGATATGTTCCAAAAGGACTTGACATACAATCATGTTTTCCCTACACTGTCAGAAAATTCCCCGAAACTTCTGCATGGAGCTCTCCATAAATGCAAATTCTGGGCTTTCTCCGAAAAATTTCGAAATTTTGAACAAAAATGCATGCTTCACTATAACAAAAACACGAAAAAAAGGTTTGCAACGAGTAAAAATTTGAGGGAAAGGTGAACTCTACTGCTTGAGCTCAGTTTTCATAATATAAAGGGAAAGCTACAGGATATAAGTCAAGTGAGCTCGAATGAGATT